ATCACCATACAGCCTCTAAGCACTATTAGCAAGTCACTTAGGAAGAGTAGTATTCAAATGTAATCAAGTAAGAAATCACCTTTAGAAATCTAGTTAATCGTTTCATGGCTAAAGCAAACATCTCTAAGGGCACACATGGAGGCTATTGAAACTAGACATCAAATTAGAGGCAGGGCAACAAGATCTGAAAATGAATGGCATCAAATTCTTGCTGAAAAGAAAATTCTTCCATCTGAACACACTAGATTGGTCATGCCCATGAAATTCAAGACCCACTTTGACATGTTCAATCAACATATAAAACATCTTAACCACGACCACTAAAGATAACCCAAAGGCCAGATATAAGTTAAGGGAGGAAGGTGTATTGTGCTCTTTCCAACCTTTACAGGAGAATAAGCGTCTTAAAATCCAAGCTTCATTAACTCAAGCAGAACTCTTAGCACAACTCCACAAACATATCTGAAGGCCAGCTGCATTCTGGGGCCACCATGGTCTGTGAAAATCCTTTAGTTCTTTCAAACAACATACATCTTCAAGAAGAAATATGATGCACATAACCAATAATACAACATGAAATCAACATCAAGTAAACATGGAAGAAACAAGAAAGGAGAATGACCCAGCAAATCATATGAACTGTTAATACATGCCTTTCTATCCGATTCCATTTTCAGCTGCTTCTTTTTTCCCTAATGTTATGCAAGTTATTTTGCTAATGGAACACTTTCACTTGATTTATACTACGAATTTGAATACATAGAAAACCAAGAAGCAGTAATTAAGTGAAAAGGACAGACTCCACAAATGCACACAATGTTTGATGCAATTGCTGTAACTAATTAGATTTCAAACATATGAAAGACTAGTAGAAGAAAGTACTAGATGCTAACAGTTGATCCTCGTTCAATGTCAAATGTTGTGTGCACGGTATATGTATCCATTTGGTCCATATTGATACTTGAAATCTCATAACTGGTATGTGAGGAGGATTCTCCTAGCAAGCACTCAGTTTCTTCATTGCCCTGCTGAGCCCAAAAGTTGTCACTGAGCTTTTTCAGCCTTGCAAGCTCCTCCGCGACTACCTTCATGGTTGGCCTTTTTAGGCCGCTACCATTTAGGCATCTCTTAACAAGCCCAGCAACTGCTTCTACTTCCTCCATTTCATCATCATCTGCTGGCTCAAAATTAAGAACTTGGACGATCTGATTATCTTCCACAGATGAAATGAAATATTGAATTATGTTTCTCTTCTCCCCATCCCTACTACTAGAAGTAGGTTTTTCCCCTGTCAACAGCTCCACCAAGACGACCCCAAAACTGTAAACATCACTTTTTGCTGTCAAATTGCCAGTCATTAAGTACTCTGGATCCAAGTACCCAAATGTCCCTTGTATTTTGGAGCCTATTCCAGTTTGGTTTGGTGAGATGAGTACTGATGCCCCAAAATCAGATACTTTGGCTGTGTAATGATCATCCAACAGTATGTTCATCGACTTCACATCACCATGAATGATTGGTGGATCTGCTAAAGAATGCAAATAGTCAAGTGCAAGTGCAGTCTCGGTAGCAATCCTCAGACGATTCTTCCATGACCCTAAAATTTGTGATCTCTTGTCATGAATATGATGGTGGAGGGTTCCATTTGAAACGAATTCATATACCAGCAATGGGACTTTAGTCTCCAAACACAGACCTAAGAGTTTCACAACATTCTTATGGTTAACCTGAGAAACAATGCCGATTTCATGCTGAAATTCCTGGTTCATTCTTGCCTTGTCCACATCTTTGGCCTTCTTGACAGCAACTAGGGTGTTGTCTGCTAAAACTCCCTTGTAGACTGAACCGAAGCCTCCTTCTCCGAGGAACTGACTATTGTCGTAGTTGTTGGTTGCCTTTACCAATTCCGTCTCGCTAAAAATCCTGATTCTTTGGTGCTTCAAAATCATACCTCCATTATCTCTAAAATATTTCTCTTTCTTCCTCCTTTGACAGACAATGAAAATCAAGATGGTGATAATGATAACAAGAATGACCCCGCCAATCACTGCATGCATTTTGAAGGAACAGAATCAACCTACTTCTCAACATATATGTTAGCGTGTGAGATCAAGTCTCTTAATGTGGCAGTTACAATTAGTTTATTTTGCTTAGTGGTGTAGCAGTTTCTTTTGCAGTTTGTAACTTCTTTTCATTTCAGCAACTGTTATGTATAAGTTTCTTTTCTTTGAAACTAATGTGTGTATGTCCGCTGCTGCTTTTCTGAAAATGTATCAGACACTGTTCATGTATTTCAGCAGTGTTTTATGTATTTTCATCATTTCTCAAGTTTAATCCTTGAATTTATGTTCATTTTCACTTGAGTTTTCATCTTTACATCATCAATATATGGATGAGGCATGCTGGGGCATTTTGATAAGATTGGTTACCTATTGCAATGGTAATGGGCAATCGGAGTCCCCGGCAGCCAACTTTACCGTCACCACGCATGCCAAGCGGGCAGTCGCATGTGTAATTCCCAATGGTATTCCGACAAGCACCTTCTTGACATGGATTCTGGTCTTGGCACTCATCAATATCTGGTGTTAAATCAAAACAATCCATGGATGAAACTCAAATTATAATTCAGTATATATATATATATATATTCAGAACATTAAATAGAATTTTAAGATTAATTTTAAGGGGTACCTTGGCATCCTTGTTGGAGATATGGATTTCCGATGAACCCTGGCGGGCAGTGGCAACGAGATCCACCACCGGTTGGAGAGTTATCGCAGATAGCATTAGGGCCGCAAGGTTCACTTTCTTGGCAGTAATTTGGCCCTTCGAACACCCATTCAATTACTGCTTGCGTAGATGGCCTTTCAGTAGGATAATCTTGCAAGTTTATTTCCGAGTAGTCGTAGGAATTTGCAACAACAAAAGCATAACTGCAGGGGTTGAATTTCCAAATATCACTGTGATTATAAAAGCTGGTGAGCGTAATGTTCAATGTTTTGAGGTTCTCCGGAATGGTCGTCTGGCAGCATCCGTAACCGGAGCAAGCACCGTAGTTTTTAATGGCTTCAGGGTCATAACAGAGGGCGACGCACCCACTTGTGAAACGCTGGCCTTCGTTGACGAACATATAGGCTACGGTGTCACAGCCTAAACCAATAAACTTGTTGTAGGTAGAGGAGATGGTGAAAGGCGGCCATCTTGTGAGGTTTAAACTCCAATAAAGACTGCCAGCCGCCAAACCGCTTTGATCGTAGCATTTGTAGGGAGAGGGAATGTTTCCTGCTGTGAAGGTACCGTTCTCCAATGATATGTTGTAAATTTGGATGTTGGAAAAGAAGAGGCTACCGTTCTGCTCGCATTTAAGCAGGAAGGAATCATTCTTGGCGCATTCAGGTTTGCCAAATCCAAAAGGGTAAGGAACAGTAACGTCTCCACATTTTTCTGGACAGTTTTTTTTGGCAACTGAACTTGCTCTGATGCCGGCAGAGCATGACAGTAGCAGCATCACCGCCATCCACAACACCGATCTCATCTTCATTAATTTTCTGCAACAGCTAGGGGAAAGAACACGCTTTCAAAGTCTTGCGTTTTGGTTGTAAATAATTACGAGCAGAAGCAGAATAATATACAGCCAGGCAGAAAGCAATGTAGGCCAATGAACTTCATTTGACTGAGTATTATAGCTGACTCAGTTGTCGTCTGCTTGACTTACGGTCAGCTTCCAGTCTTCCATTTTTGTGGAACTAGATATTTATAGAATATATGTGAATGAAATTGCAAACGGGCTAAATTATTTCACTACATGAACGTAAGGCCAACTTGTCTTCCTGACTTCTTGTGCACGCGTTTAGATATACAAGTCTAATAAAGTCTTCCTGGGTTGTTGTGGACGCGTTTGAATTAGAAAGGGGTTTGTTGTTGACCGAAATTAACTGCTGACTGCAGCTTTCGTAGAATTTTATGGGAAGACTGAAGGAAACTGAGCCGGTCTTTCATATTTCTATCACGAAGGTTATGTTGTCCCTATCATAATACCCACATGCCACAGAAAAACATAAATAAAAATGGTTATTATTCTTAGATGAGATTTTTTCTAAATGCTATAAGTATGTTAGGATTAAGAGTTGAATTTATTACTAAGTAAATTATTTGGTAAGTTAAATTTAAAATATAAATTGATATTTAAAAACATAATTTTTTTAAATATATCATATATATATATATACACATATATATATATATATGTGTGTATATATATATATGTGTAGAGATTCTTGAAGTTTCGTGAAAATTGATCCAGAAACTTCCTCCCAGTCCAAACCAAAATATGCTGTATGCATTGCTAACTTTGGGTAAATAATTATGATTTTCTCTTCTTCTTTTGTTTTTTTTTTTGTTTTTCTAACTAGTATTTTTAAAGATGTAATTAACATACTTTTTAATAATTAATTTTTATTGAAAGTTCAAATGTTAATTTCATTTTAATCAATTAACTAATTAAAATTAACTACATGTTAGTGGTGTTAAAATAAATATTAATTTTTATAAATTTTTATGTGAATTAATTAAAAAATATATTTATTATACAATTAATTTATACTCTAAAAATACAAATTACACAACATTTTTTTTGTTTTTTATGAACAGGATTTTCCGATTGTTGAATAATAACTTTGGGTAAGTTAAGAAGACGGAAGGAAGCTGAGCCAGTCTTTCATCTTTCTATTATAATACCCACATGCTACAGGAAAATTTTCTATTATAATAAACACAAACTACAAGTACTTTAAAAAATATATATATACTACACATACGGTAAAATTTTCTGTTATAATACCCGCATGCTATAGGAAAAACATAAAGGTTATTTTTCTCAAAACAATTTGGGTAAAAGATTATGATTTTCCGATAACTAAAGTTTGAAATTTCCAACCGAAATGTGAAATTAAGGTTCAATCGAATCTAAAAGGAAAATAGCAGAAAAAAAACCAAGCACGATCTAGAAACTAATAAACGCCAATTTTCCAAAGCAATTCTTTAGGCTTTTCTTAACGAGTGGCCATGCTGCGTTCCGCGTGGCTTTGTTGAAAAAATAAATCGATATAAATAGTGGCCCTTGCCCTGTTATCTGAGAAGTTTTGCTTGAAATTTATATTTATTAATTTTTTTTTCTTATTTGTAGGATTGAACAATAGAAGTACTTTCTGAGGAGATAAATTATACAAACATCACTTTCACTAAGTAACAATTTTGTCAAAAAAGAAATTGATTTATCAACAACTATTTGTATACCAATCAACTAATTAAAATGAGATTAATTGTAATTTAAATTAAAAATTTAATAAGTTAAAGTTTGAATTCTGAATAAGTGATATAATTTAAAAGAGTTTTTTTTATATAAAATTTAAATATAGTTTAAGTAGGATTTTTTAATTTTATTTATCCGGTAGATAATGTAATAATTTTAATTTAAATTCATTCAATTTTATTTATCTAAATATTTCTTCTTTTTCCTCTTTTGACAACTTATATAAATCACAATTAAAATTATCTTTTTTATATGTAATTTTTATTGAATATTTTTATCTGATAAAACAATTCAATTATTGTTTATATAATATATTAAATTTTCATATAAAAATTATATTTAGAAAGTCAAATTAAAGTAATTAAAAATAATAGAAGGAGTATATATAAAACGCAAGTATATATGTCACGAAATATGTGTCACGAACCAATAAAACTTAGATTACTTATTAACACATTTTCAATCTAGACTGACTGAAAAAATAAATAAAAGAAAAGAAAAGAAAAACCCTTGTAAGTAAACGCAAAAAATGACACCAAATAATAAAAGTTGGATTACTTATTTGAGAAATAGGAGCCGTGGTATCGTCTTACTCCCTCTGTTATAATAACTATTGTTTTTGGATTTTTTTTTTTTAATTAAGGATTTGATTTATTTATATTAATTTTCTGAAAGTAGAAATTTATGGCAGGTGGGGTAAACTCCAATGATCCATCGAATTGACATATATCGAACTTATTTCACCATCTAAGAGCACAAGTTGGCGCTATAACTATTATTTTTATAAAATAAATATTAATAAATATTAAAATTGATATTGATTTTATTATTAATATTATATGAGTTATTTTAATTAAATACAATAATTAATTAAATAACATTTAATTTTCATTAATTAATTTTAAAAAATTTAATAATTACACTTTAAAAACACAAATTAAAAAGACCCACATAACACGGCCTACTTGTTTTCCAGCCTTGTTGTGCACGCAGGTATACTCTCTGACATGACTGAGAGAAGTCTTTATTATTTGTTTGTTTCTTGATTTTTTTTTAAAAAAATAATTTACAATTTAGGAAAAGGAAATTTTTGGATGTGTTAATAAAACTCAAAATCTTGACTAATTAAACCGAACATCTTAAAATTTAAGAGCAAACAACTTGGACCGGATGCCCAGTTGCTTGATTTTTGTTTTTTAACTGGACTTTATTCATTGACTTGAATTATCTGCAGCTTTTGTATTTTCTAAGAAGACTGAAAGACGCTGTGCCGGTCTTTCATCTTTCTATCATAGAGGTTATTATGCCAACTCTATCATAATACCCACATGCCACAAGTAAAATTTATTTTTTTTAGCTGTTAGGATGTTATTGATTTAACTTGCACATACTTTGACACCAATCGCTCTTTATCCATATTATATTATCATTATTGTTATTTTTTAAGGTGAGGTTAGTTTCTAAAATTCAATGGTTGAATTAATGGTAAATAAATATCATTTTATATGTAAAGTATAAGATTTAAATTTTTAAGCTAACATTTATGTAAACTCATTTTCTTAAATACAATAAATTAACATGAGATTACAAACTTAAAATCACTCAAAAAAAAGATTAATCTCAAGATACAAACACTAGTAAGAGACATCTTGATAAATGAAACCAAAAAATATTGTAAACATTATTAACTTTTGGGTAAATAACTATGAGTTTCCTAAAACTAAGTTTGAAATTTCGAATTAAAATG